GATAGTGTCCGTTAGAGTACACTTCAAAACATCCCAGGCCCATACGCCACACCATCTTCTTTCTCGGCCTCAAGACGAGCCTGCTCTATTGCCTTCGCTCGCATCACCTTCCTCCTCTTCGCAGCAGCTTTCTGTACGTCTTGGCTTTTGTATAAACGCTTGGTGGTGCGGGCAGAGTTCAGGCGTTCAGTATTTACCCCGGAAGGTACACCAAGTAAATCCTTCAACTCGGTTGTATATCCTGGGCCAAAGTTGAATTCGGCAGCAGCAGTGATGACAGCCACTTCAACTCGTTGCTTGCTGCGGAACTGAGTTTTGCTGGATTTGGCCCAGACCGAGTGGTGAAAACTTTCGTTTGCATTCTGGGTCGCCTTGCGTTCACACCGAAGAAGTAGAGAGTCGGCGGTGAGCCTTTTGTAGACGGGACGGAGGTGCTCATGCAGCAGTTCGTAGTTCAGGGGCGTGTGCACCCTGTTCTTGTGGCCTCCTGGATAGACGTGCCTTGCCAAGGACTTCTTGTAGAAGCACCAGGAGTCGTTGCCAGACGGACAGTACATGTGCTGCGGGTGGTCGTCTGTTGAGTATCCATGGTGGACACTGGCCAGGATAGCTGTCCTCATCTCGGCTGCAGTGGCTTGGCTTCGGATGGCCCTCGAATAGTAGATGGACAGCTTGCGAATAGTGTTTGCTGTCAGCCTGCCATGGCCTCTTCCACCTAGCGTGACGCCTTTCTTGCTGCAGTCACTGACGAGGTTCCGTAACGCAGTGCCCAGCCGCTTCCCCACATGATTTAGGCACTCCTCCTTCACAATCTGGACTCCAGGACCGTACGGCTTCACCTCTGTCACCTTGTTGAAGGCTTTGGAGTCTCCATCACCAACAAACGTGGTGTACCGCAGGCCGAACTTTTCCATCGAACGACTCCACAACACAACTGCAGCCTCCACCTCCATCATCCCCGACGATCCACCATAGTTTATGTTGCAGCCACTAGCTTTGTGCTCCGTCAGCCACACGTCGTAAGCCAGGGGAGTGTTCATCTTCTTCCACTGACCAGTGGTAGCGCAAGTCTGGCAATGAAGGCTCAGGACATGGCTGTCGAGTACTAACCCGGTCAGTACGTCGATGACGCAGCCAATACCGATGAGGGACTTGTGGCCACGTGTCAGCCAGGAGCTGTCGAAGCTCACGGCGATGTCCAGCACGCCATCCTCCGCGACGCAGCCCGTGCTTTGGTAAGCCTGACGAACAGCGTTGGCAGCCTGAAGAAATACTT